GGTTCTCCCGCAGTGGCAAATTGCGGGATGAATCTACGATACCAAGACGACATTCCCAAGAACCGGCGCAACTGTTTGATATTACGCGGCACAGGATATTCTAAGATTGGTCGCGCTTTTTCAGAATCGACAGTTAGGCCGTTCCTTTGCACAACGAATCCCAAATATCTCACTTGATAACGGCAAAATTCACATTTGTCAGGATTGATTTCAAGACCGGCATCGAAAATCTTACTTAAAACTCGTTCGAGCCACTCTAAGTGTCCTTCAAAGGTCGGTGTAGCAATTACAATGTCGTCAAGGTAGGCAAACGCGTACGGCTCCATTTCTGGACCAATCAATTTATCCAATAAACGTTGAAAAGTAGCCGGGGCTCCCGTGAGCCCGTACGGCATCCGCGTAAAATGATATAATCCTTTACCGGGAACACTAAAGGCTGTTATCTCGCGACTTTCCTTCGCCAAGGGTATTTGGAAGTACGCCTGACTCAAGTCGATTGTCGAGATGTATCGCGCAGATCTTAATTTATCTAATATTCCGGTCATATTCGGCAACGGATACGCGTCTTTCTTTGAGATGCTATTAACTTTACGAAAGTCTAAACAAAAACGATACTTTCCGTTCGGCTTTTTCACCATCACTATCGAATTCGACCACTCACTAAACGAAGCCTCGATTATACCTGTTTTTAACATCCTATCTACTTCCTCTCTAATCGCGCTCTGTACTTTCGGCGAAACTAAATAACATCGCTGCTTAATCGGTTGATGCGAACCAACATCTATACGATGTTCAGTGAGAGAGGTGACACCGGACTCGGCAACGGCACTCGGCAATTTATTCGCTAAAAATGTTCTTAAACTCGATTCCTGCCCGGGGGTTAGTTCTGAAAGCCCACAGCAAGCACACGTAGCATGATCATCCCAGCCCTCGAACGTATAACGTTCCGCCGGGCGAGCCGAGAAACCCCAAGTCCACTCGGCGAAATCGATGCTTACACCAAAAGCATCCAAGAAGTCTATCCCTATTATACATGAGACAATTAGAGTAGGCAATAACCAAACATCCATCTCGCGCACTATCCCCTCAAGTATTAAAGGCATTTTTATCCTCTCATGTATTTTTGCGATCTGTCCGTTCGCGGTGCGTATACAAATTTTCTCCGCGCGCTGTGTCTGCCACCCTAGGCGTCTCACGATCGCGATGCCCTCATCTCCTATAATCGTGCGATTATATCCCGTATCTACGAGAGCCATTAACGGAAAACCGGCAACGAAAATTCGGAAATACCTCAAAGATGGCAATTCCGACGGACGAAAAACTTTCCCCGAGTATTCTAATACATCGACCGGCAGAACACGGGTCTCACTTGATTCGACGGAGGTCGCACGGACCCGCTCTAACGACCCGCCTCCGCGTTTCCCGAACAGCTCGGACAATTTCTAGTCGTGACATTAGCCGCCCCGCAGCGGTAGCAATACAAGCGGCGCGCTTCTCCACACTCCCGCGCCCTATGACCAGTTTTCTCGCAATTCCAACATTTAATAGTGGTTGTGGACGTCGTATTTGCGGCACCGTCGGCAGTGGTCGAAGACGGAGCTGAAGGCCCCGCTCCGAACCGATTACTCCTGCGATTATTCGCGACTCCCGGCGCGGAGAATTCCGCGGCCGCGACTACCGGAGCACGCGGACTCTTCTTAGGCGGTCGGTAGGCTAAATCAGGAAATAAAGATCTCTCGGGGGTCGGCGGAGCACGGTAACGAGTCGCGGCCTCGTGGCTCACTTCCACACGTAAAGCCATTCACTCTAATGAGGCAAAATCGTAAAATTCGTCGCGCCGAATAACGATTTGTAAACGCGGCAACATATTAAGATGAGCGTAATTTAATTGCTCAGGCAGAGTCCACGGAGGGCAGAGTCTGTCAAATAAAGCCTGCATGCAGGTTAAGTAGTCAGCTACCGACTCCATCTCTCCCTGCGTGCGTCGTAAAATTTCATCCCGTAGCGCAAATTGAAAATCCGGATTCCCAAAACGACTACGCCACGCCCCCGCAAACTCGCTCCACGTTCTCCATTCGACACGTCGATTACGAAACCAATAAAGTGCAGTACCGGTCAGGAAGAAGGGCAAACATCTAAATAAATCCTCGTCGGCAACGGGAAATAACGCACGGCTCTCGTCAATACGCATGAGAAAGGCCTCCGCATCGCTTCCGCGCGTATCAGAAAACGTTATGTTCCATTTACGAAGAACATTATAAATTTCCCGAACAGAACTCGCCCCATTCGGCGCCAAGTGATCTCTATCAGATAACGGACTTAGGAGCGCGGCCGCGGTACTATCTCTCGCCGCACTCGCTCGAGGTGTCACGTTTTCCGTCAACCCCGGCGATGGACTGTCCGGACGTACCCGCTCCGTCGGCGAAGGACGCAGATGTCCTTCGCTAGGATCATTCGCGGTCGAAGAACGCAAAAGCGCGTCACTCGCGGGGGTACTCATCTCGTACCGGAGCAACCGAGCATGTAAAACAGCCGCACTCCCCTCGCTATCTAGCCCCCGTCGATCTAATTCTTCTTTCAGTTGACTTGCAGTCAGCTGATAGATCCATTCGTATTGCGCGCGCTTATCCGTCATCTTTACTAACAATTATTTTCCTCGGCAACGATATTAGACTATACTTGAGGATCACAACGGCAACGAAAATAAACTTAAATATGTGCGCTTTGCTGTGAAATTTCCTCCCCGGCAAGGTTGCTACTCAAAACTCAGACGCGAATACAAACGAAATCTCGCGCTCATAAACAGCTCTTATCCTTGGGTTAAGTCGCGAAATAATACTCTATATAATATTCGAAAACACACGTAAATAACGGTCGAGACACAGAAAGATTCTCACAGCGTTTCTCACAATACGAGAATCAAGGCAACAAGCGCGACCGAAATGCCGCAGAACGGCAACGGAGAGAAAAAAAAAAAGTACACTCGGCGCAAAACAATAATACGCGAAACGACCTATACACGTCGAGAATATTCTCGAAGAGAATTCCTATAAGTACCACTCACCGAAATTCCAGGGCCCTTCAATAAATTCACTTTACTTTAAAACTTTTAATTCTCAATTGAGACTCTGAATTGGGATCCTCAATCTCAATCCCTTCTTTTATTCCAAGAATAATAAAAAAAACTGAATATTATGTACTGCTGCAAGAAAGAAATCGGCCTATAAGAAATGTGAACAGAATAGCAAAGAAAAATGCACAAGAAAATACAAAAATATGCAAGATATACAAGAATACAAGAAATATGCAGGGAAATATATAAGAAAATGCAAAAATATAATATACAATATTACAAAAAATAATCTCTCAAATCTCTCTCGTTCTCCGAACCCGCAATCAAATTGTGTTATAATAAATCTTTTAACTCGAGTTATTAAATCTTTAAACTCGAGGCCCCACGTGTTGGGCGCCAAATTTGTGACCGTACTTTTAAGTGTCGGCACAACTTCGTCGCGTTCTCCTAAATAAGTCTATGGATGCGAAAGCTCTTATTTCAGATGAACAATACTTACTGGAGCAATAGTGCGGTCCGTTAATAATTCTCGCGTGATTCGAGATTTTACACAAGTTAACGAGTTATCTCGCTCAGCCAGGATCTTAGTCGCTATCAAAAATTCGTTGGGCGCCAGGCACGAGAGAGCGTGCCACTCTTCGCACAAATGTTAGATAAATTGCTCGGACAAAGAAATTATAGATTACGCGGATTCTCGCGACGGAACTAAACAACTAGCTCAGCCAACGGAATTGGCAGAGGGGAGTGGTTCGCGGTAAGCGGGAAAATTGTCGGAGAACGATAGAGAGGCTGAAATAAATGCACAATAAGTAATGATAACAAATAGAGAAGTCGATATATTTGTTCGAGACTGTACAAAAGTGTTCGAAAGAAAGTATGTTATAGCGTTGACCTTCCGCGCTCTGGTATGCGGCGCAATAACAATAAACTGACTATCAGTTGGCCGTCGACGACATGGAATAAATTCGGCAACAATTCGCCGAGCAAAATTTTGGTGATCAAATCTAGATCTTATTATGTCGACAATAAATTATTTCGTGAACAAGTACATCATATGAGTTTAAATGAGACGGCAACGGTTCTTTAATGCGCAATAACGCCAGCCTCGACTTTAAAGAAATCTC